TTTCAGAACTTTTTCATCTTGCAGCCTCAAAACTCTACATATATTAAACCACAGTTGTGCATTTTCCCTGGCCAGCCTGAACCAATCATATTTCTTCTTTCTAAAAATTTTTTTATTTAATTTTAAAATTTTATTTTAAAGAGGGTAAAACTAAACATAACAAAACAAAGTAGATCAGAAGAAAATAATGTAAGTGACACAGATTTCAAAGCAAGACAACAGGAGATCATCACTGGCTACCATGTCTCTTGTTTTCGTCTAAACAATTGTCCATATCTTCACACACAATGAATTCATACGAAACAAACAGTATTAAACTGATGAGAACAGAGTGATGAAGGCCTTCAAAACCAGATGATAGGGAAATCAACAATGGCTGCCATAATGTCTCATTATTCTCTTGAAAATAGCAGTCTGCATCTTCATGTATGTCAAAGTTCATACAAAACAGACTAAAATCACTCTGAACAAAGAATAATGGCATTACTGGATTTCACAGCATGATGATACAGAATCAGCAATGGATAACATAATGTCTCTTTTTCTTCAAAGTAGCTGTTCATTTCATCATGCATTATATAATCGATTCTCATAAACTGTTTAGGAGAAGTACTACACATGCATAAGTCTCTATAGGTAGACCTACCCTTTCTGTATTAGAGGGAAAAAAAACAAAACTAAACAAAACAAATTACTAGAAAAACACAAAACAGAAAAATTAATAACAATAGCAAAGAGCTCAAAACAATGATGTTATAGGCCTTCAAAACAAGGTGGTAGGAGCATAACTAGAGTGTTATTTTACATAATGACCTTCAAGAGTTCCTCAGATCACCATATACTAACATGCACAATTGTTCCAATCCTATGAATGTTAACTGTTCTGTTCCAAGATCTTACAGAATTTGTAGCACAATTATCTTAGCTATCCTAAGTGTGTTAAGATACTTTTTCTTTTCCCTTCCTCTTGCTTTTTCCTCCTTTTACTTGAGATATTTTTTACACTTAGAGCAGATTTTTATCCTTTCACTGTATTTATTGAGGATTTTGTATCTCATGTACTTTGACCATTCCATAAACTAGGGAGACTATATGGTGTTTATACATGTGAATTCGGTTTTTTTTTCACTTACGAGTATGGTCTCAAATTGCATCCATTTATTTAAAAATATCTCAATGTGATCATTCTTTATAGCTGAGTAGTACTCCATTGTATAAAAATACCACAACTTTTTTATCCATTCCTCAGTTGATGGGCATATAGGTTGTTTCCAAGATCTGGCTATTACAAATTGTGCTGCTATAAACATAGGTGCACATATATCACTATGATATGATATTTTCAATTCTTCTGAGAATATGCCCAGAAGTGGAGTAGTTGGGTCAAATGGGATTTCCAATCCCAGCTTTTTGATGAACCTCCAGACTGATCTCCACAGTGGTTGCACCAGTCTGCACTCGCACTAACAGTGTAGATGAATTCCTTTTACTCCACAACTTCTCCAGCATTTGTTATTGGTACTTTTCTTGATCCTGGCCATTCTTTCAGAAGTGAGATGAAATCTCAGTGTGGTTTTAATTTGCATTTCTCTAATGATGCTAAACATTTTTCATATATTTATTTGCCATTTGTATTTCTTCATCTGAGAAGTGTGTATTCATCTCAGATGACCATTTTTGGATTGAGTCTTTGAATTTTGGGGGTCTGATTTTTAAAAAATTCTTTATATGTTTTAGACAAAAGTCCATTGTCTGAGGGACAGTTCATTAAAATTTTTTCCCAATTTGTGAGTTTTCTTTTCCCTGTGCTGGAGATTTCTTTTGACATGCAAAAACTTTAATAAGATGTGATCCTAATTACTGACTTTGTGAAATATTTCCCGTTGGTTTGATTCTTGTTCATGAATTCTCTACCTACGCCTATATCTTCAAGTTTCTACCTACTTTGTCTTCCAAAAGATTTAGTGTTTCTGTTTTAATATTTAGATCTTTGAACCTAGACCCTACTTTAGTACATGATGTTAGGCATGGGTCTAGTTTTAGTTTTTGGCATATGGAGAACCAATTATTTATTCCGCCACCATTTATTGAAGAGACTTATCTTTCTTCAGGTGGGTGTGTTTGGCCCCTTTCTCAAAGATAAGGTGGCTGAGTGCTTTTGTAGTTGTGGTTTTATCTTTTAATCTATTCTATTGATCTTCAGGTCTGTTTTTGTTTTAGTATCATGTTGATTTTATTGCAGTAGCTTCGTAGTATAACTTCAAGTCAGGGATTATGATGCCTCCTGCCTTGCTTTTGTTGCTTAAAACTGTCTTTGCTATTCTAGGTCTCTTTTAATTCCAGATGAATTTTAGGAGTGATTTCTCTAGACCTGTGAGGTATGCTTGTGGCATTTTGATTGGGATTGCATTGAATCTGTATAACAATTAAGAGAGAATGGCTGTTTTCAAAGTTTGTTCTTCCTATCCATGACCAAGGGATGTCTTTTCTGAGGTCCTCTTCGATTTCTCTTTTTAGGGTCTTTGAATTTTGGGAGTCCGATTTTTTATAATTTTCCCTGAATAGATTTTTGTACTTCTTTTGTTAGATTGATTCCTAAGTATTTCATTTTTTTGGATGCTAGTGTGAAGAGTGTAGCTTCTCTTATTTCTCTCAGTGATTTTGATGTTAGTATATAGGAATGCTATTGATTTTTTAGTATTGACTTTGTATCCACCTACATTACTGAATTTATTTATTGTACCTACGAGTCTTTCAATGGAGTTTTGGGGGTCTTCTATGTAGAGTGTCATGTTATCTGCAAATAATGATAATTTAACTTCTTTTCCTATCCTTTCTCCTTTTATTCTTCTCTCTTGTCTAATGCTCAGGCTAGTATTTCTAGCACTATATTGAATAGAAGTGGTGATAATGGACGTCCTTATCTTGTGCCCCATTTTGGGGTAATAGCTTTCAGTTTTGGCCATTTAAAATGATGCTGGCTGTTGGTTTTTCATAGATAACTTTTATCATATTGAGGTAAAGACCATGTATTCCAATTTTCTGTAAGGTTCTTATCTTGAATGAGTGTTGGATGTTATCAAAAGGTTTTTCTGCATCTATAGAAATGATCATGTGATTCTTATTTTTGGCTCTATTGATATAGTGGATTAAATTTATTGATTTATGTATATTCAACCATCCCTGGATTCCTGAGATGAATCCCACTTGGTTGTGGTGTATAATCGTGATGATTTGTTGCATTCTGTTTACCAATATTTTATTGAGAATTTTTACATCTATGTTCATTAGGGAGATTGGCCTGTAGTTCTCTTTTTTGGTTGGGTCTTTCTTTGGTTTTGGTATTAGAGTAATATTTGCTTTCAGGAATGAGTTAAGGAGAATTCCCTTTCAGTTTCATTGAAGAGTTTGAGGAGTATCAGTATTAAGTCTTTGAATTTCTTGTAGAATTCCACAGTGAATCCATCTGCACCTGGGCTTTTCTTTGTTGGTAAGGATTTAATTACATTTTAAATTTCGTTAATTGAAATTGGGTTATTCAGCAGTTGTACATGTTTTTGACCCAGCTTTGGTACTTCATGTGTTTCTAGGAATCTGTCCATTTCTTCTGTGTTATCCACTCTATGAGTAGAGGTTTTTGAAATAGGTGCTGATGATCTTATGTATTTCCACAGTCTGTAGTGGTTTTGCCTTTTTCATTTCTTATTGCATGAGTTTGAGTTTTTTCTTTCCTTTTTAAAATAAGGTTGGCCAGGGGCTTATCAATTTTATTTATTCTTTCAAAGAACCAACTGTTTGATTCATTAATTGTTTGTATTGTTTTCTTAGTCTCTATTGCTCTGATTTTTATAATTTCCTCCCTTCTTTTGGCTTTGGGCTTAACTTTATCTTCTTTTTCTTGATATCTTAGGTGTAGCATCAGGTTGTTTATTTGTGTTTGTTCTGTTTTCCTGATGTGGGAATTCACCACAATAATTTTTCCTCTGAGGACAGCTTTCATTGTATCCCACAGGTTCCGGTAAGTTGTATTTGTGTTTTCATTTTCTTGTAGATATTGTTTAATTTCTTCTTTAATTTCCTCTGTAACCCACTAATTCCTCAGGAATGTATTATTCAATTTCCATGTGTTTGTGGGGTTTTTGCAGTTTTTTTGTCATTAATTGCTAGTTTCATGGTGTTATGATCCAATAACATGCATGGAATAATTTAAATTCTTTTGTATTTACTTAGGCATGTTCTGTGGGCTAGTATATGGTCTATTTTAGAGAATGTCCCATGTGCTGCTGAGAAGAATGTATATTCTGATGTTGGGTGGAACACTCTGTGTATGTCCACCAAATTCATTTGTTCACAGGTATGATTCAGTTCTTTTGTTTCTTTGCTGATTTTCTGTGTAGTTGATCTGTCCCTTTGTGTCAATGGCATGCTAAGGTCTCCTGTTATAAAATTGTGTTATTGCTTATTTGATTGTTCAATTCTGTTAAATTTGTTTTGTATAGCTGGGTGCTCCCAAATTTGGTGCATATATATTTAAGATTGTTATCTCTTCCTCTTGAAGTTTTCCCCTAACTAGTATGTAGTGACCTTCTTTATCTCTTTGGATCATTCTTGTATTGAAGTTTGCATTGTCTGCAAACAGAATAGTTACCCCTGCTTTTTTTGGGTTTCCTGTTGCATGCAGTATTGTTTTCCATCCTTTGACTTTAAGTCTATTAGTTTCCTTTTGGGTTATATGGGTTTCTTGTAGACAGCATCTGGTTGGATGTAGTTTCTTGATCCATTCTGCTAGTCTGTTTGTTTTAATTGGTGAATTGAGGCCCTTTACATTAATGGTTGTAACTGAGATACATTGGTTTATTTTTGACTTATCTTTGTGCTGCTTCTTTACCTTTCCACTCTGTTTGTCTGCCTTGTTTAGTGTTTTTTCCTATGTCGATCTAGAATATCTTTCAGCATTCTTTGCAGGGTTGGTTTGGTGGTCATGAAGTTCTTCACCTATCAAAAATATGGAACGCTTCACGAATTTGCATGTTATCCTTGCACAGAGCCATGTTAATCTTCTCTTTATTTTTCCAAGTTTAGTATATGTGCTGTGAGAGCAAGCACTCTTCTTTCTGTTTCTGTGAGCTTTACCATGTTGGATACTTCATGTAAGTGGAATTATATATATATTTATTTATATATAATTATATATAAATTATATATATATAATTATATATATATATATTTTTTTTTTCTTTGTGTGACTGGCTTATTTCACTAGCATGATGTCCTTTTGGTTCCATGTGTTCCATGTTGTAGCATATAGGTTGAATAATACTCCACTGTTTGTATTTACAACATTTTGTTTATGTGTCTATCCTTCTGTGGATATTTGGGTTGTTTTCAGTTTTTTTGATGTTGCTGTGAAAACGAGTGTGCAGATAATCGCTCTGAGATCCTGTCTTTAATTCTTTGGTGTTTTTTGAAAATTGTGCTTTATATCCAGATGTGAGATCCCTGGTTCCTTTGGTAATTCTATCTTTAACCTTTTGAGGAGCTACCCTACTCTTTTCTCTAGTGTTTGTACCATTTTACATTTTATACCAGTGATTCATAATGGTTCTAGTTTATTAATGACCTCTCCAACTCACCAACACTTGCTAGTGTCTACTCACTGTGTGTGTCTGCTCGCTGTGCTCTATATGTGTGTGTGTGGGGGGGGCTAGGGCTCAAATCTAGGGGCTTCCCTGGGCTCAGCGCATGCTGTGTTACTGGGTTACTGTCCCAGCCTCTTTTCATGTATGGTAGCCATTATAATTACATGTGAGGCGATGTCTCATTGTGGCTTTCATTTGCCTTTCTCTGCTGACGAGTGTGCTAGCTTTTTGTCACTGAGACAAAATACCTGGGGTCATGAGTTCATGAAGTGAAGGGCTATTTTGACTCACAACCTTGGGACTTCCTTGGCACGATTGGTTTGGTTGCATTGCTTTGCACTGTGATGAAACAGCACCGTGATGGGGAGGAGTATACGCTTCAGGAGCCAGGGAATAAGTGGAAGCAGGCTCTGGGTTCTCACAACGTCCAACAGTGCTGCTGTGTGGACCACACCTTACCATAGGGGCTTTGGGGGATGGTGGGGGCATGCAAGAACGAAACTGGCAATTAGGTATGTGGAATCTCCTTGTATTTTAGTTGCTGGCCATTCGCCTGTCACCTATGGAGAAAGTTCTCTGGTCATTTTAAAATGTGACTGTTTCTTAAATTATAGTCATTGTTTACATTAAACCTTTAGTGATATAATGTGCAGATATTTTCTCTTGTTTCATAACTTAGTTTTTCTTTTATTAATTGTGTCTTTTGAGGTACAGAAGTTTTAAAGTTTGTATGTCTGGTGTCATAATGCAGAAATCACTGCCAAGTCTAAGGTCATAAATCTTTTCTTCTGTGTTTTTCCTAGAACTATTATAGTTTTAGGTCTCCAATCCATTGTAAGTCAATTTTCATGGATGATGTTAGCTTCATTCTTTTACTTTTTTGTATATCCAGTTTACCTAGAGCCATTTGTCAAAAAAAATTCCCACATCCTCATTGAATGGTCTTAGTTCCTTGTGGAAAATTCTTTGACCATATAGACGGGGGGGTGGTGGTGGTGGTGGTGGTGGTAGTGGTGGTGGTGGTGGTGGTGGTGGTGGTGGTGGTGTTATTCTTCAGTCCGCAATCTGCACCACTGATCTGTATGTCTGTGTTTGTGGTTTGAATACTGTAGCTTTGTAATTAATGTGTTTTGAAGTGAGAAAGTACTACTTTTGTAGCTTTGTTCTTTTTCAAGCCATTGTTTTTGATATGTGGAGTATAACGTTTTAAAGGCAAACACTATGTAGAAGTTAGCTTGTTTATGTCTCTGGAGTTTATTTCAGTGTCTGGCATATAATAATTATTTGTAAAATACTCCATGAGTTAATGTTGCAATCCTCTTTTGCTCTAAGTTTCTGAGTTCGTTTTCTGGGTGAAGGCTCAAGAAAAAGTGTCCATCTTATTATTGTTTTTTAAAAATTTTATTTAAAGAAAAAAAAACCAGAAAAGGTACAAGTAATACAAAATTTCAAAAAAAAGTAAGAAATCACCTTCATGTTTTCTGATCATTATTGGTTTGAAGTTCACATTGTCTGTAAACAGAATAGCTACTCCCGCTTTTTTTGGAGTTCCTGTTGCATGAAGTATTGTTTTCCATCCTTTGACTTTCAGTCTGTGAGTATACTTTTGGGTTAGATGGGTTTCTTATATACAGCATATGGTTGGATGTTGTTTCTTGATCTATTCTGTTTCTTTTAATTGGTGCGTTAAGACCATTTACATTAATGGTTATAACTATTATATGTTGGTTTATTGTTGACATGTTATCTTTCTGTTGTGGCATCTTTATCTTTTTGTTCTGCTTTGCTTGGTGGTTTTTTCCTAAGTGTATCTAAAGTGTCTTTCAGTATTCTTTGCAGGGTTGGCTTGGTGATCATGAAGTTTTTTAGCTGTTCTTTGTCATGGAAGTATCTTATTTCTCCATCCATTTTGAAGGACAGTTTTGCAGGGTACATCAGTCTAGGTTGGAAATCATTTTCCTTTAGGATCTGAAATACTTCACTCCATGCTCTTCTTGACTTTATTGTTTGTGCTGAGAAGGCTGCTGGGATTCTGATAGGTTTTCCTTTATAAGTGATCTGTCTTTTTTCTCTGACAGAATATCTGTTCTATATTGGATTTCTGGGATGGTGATTATTATATGTCTGGGTGTAGTTTTATTTTGGTTATGGTTGTTTGGAGTTTTATATGCTTCACTGATCCTGATACCAGTTTCCAATCTCATATTTGGGAAATTTTCAGCTATTCAGCTTCTCTAAATATCCTCTTGATATCCTTTGTGTTGTTCCCTTCTTTTTCATTTATCCCTATCAATCTTATGTTGTTTTTCTTTGTGTCATCTTGCAGTTGTTGAATTGTTATTTCCTGATTCCTTCTTACTTTTAAAAGATATTTCCTTTCCAGTTTACTAGCTGCAGTCTGTTCTTCGAGGTCTGAAATTCTATCTTCACTTTCGTTGAGGCGATTTTTACAACTTTCAATGGAATGTTTTATTTTCTGTATATCTCTTTGCATGTGCTTTATGTATTCTGTTTGTTTCTTACATTGTTTATCCAGGGATTTTACCTTTTTGTTTAGTTCCTCCAATGTTTTAACTATGTCTTCTTTAGATATGTTCAGCATCTCTTTCATTTCTTTTATCATTTCTTCTTTTACCTGGGAGATTATTTTTAGTTTGAATTGCTTTAAAGCTTCCCAGAGTTGCTTCTTTATTTCAGTTGCTATTATTTCAGGTTTTTCAGGTGTATGGCATGTATTTTCTTCTATGTACATACCTCCTAATGTTTCTTGGGATGGGCTAGATGTTTGAGATTGTAATTTGGTCTTTTGTTTTGTCGTTTTCCTGTGTTTCTGTGTTTCAAGTGTTATTCCAAGGCTTTTCCAGGACTTGTTGGAAATCCTCTTCTATGCCCTCAGCTCCTGGGACTCTGGCTGCCCAGTGTCCCGGATTGAGAGTGGATCACTGGGGGTGGGGCAGGCCGGCTCAAGACCTGTCAAGCTGGTCCAGTCCAATAGGAAGACATGAAGTTCCCTTTCCAAGACCGAGCAAGGATCCCAAACTAGCTAGGTTCGGGGATGGTGTGGGGACACTCATCCCAGGCTGCCCAGCCTCTGGAAGCAATGACGCCGGCATGCCTAGAACTCCAGAGTCTACCAAGCATGGCAGGGAGCGGGGAGGCCTACTCAAGATCCTCTGAGCTGGTCCAGTGCACCAGGAAGACGTGGAGTTCCCTGTCCAGGGCTGAGCGAGGATCCCAAACTAGCTGGCCTCGGGGACACTCACCCCAGGCTGCCCAGCCTCTTATCTTATTATTCTTTCAGAATAGTTGACTCATACAGAATCGATGTTTCACTTGTGATGGAATTAATGGAGTACAGCTGAATAGTGAAAATGAATTTTTGTAAAAAAACAAAGCAAACTGCCAAGTCAGTAATCTTGCTGTGATAAAAAATATAATTCTTAGGTTTTCTCTGAGAATGTAAATAAAAATTCCTTGAAGCATCAAAATGAAAATATTCTTCTGATACAATAGGAGATAAGATTGTTTGACTGTTTAACCTATTAAAAGAAGATGTTCTTTGGTGGCTTTTTAAACAATTAGTAATGTACATTCTAAAAAACAAGGACATACTACATTCAGAAAGTCTACCTCATGAAGGATGCATGCTTCAACATTTACCAAGGTTCTGTGAACAGGCAAACAAAAAACCTCATAAATTAAGATTTTGGTTGGGAAAACAAAATTTTGCCTCCTTGTTTTCATGAGTTTCAGTTTATAAGAATACATCTGAAAGTGGTTCAGGATTCTGGTCCAAGATGAACACTCTCATTTCTCTCAATTTTGGAAAGCATTGCTGTTTTATCATAGTCAAAGTGCATTTTTTTCTGCATTGCTTTTGGGGGGCAGTATGGGTACAAAAGTCATAGTGTCACAGAATTCAGATATTTGGTATTAAAGATTTTACAAATTGACTTTATTATTTTTTGTTCTTTGAGAATCGTGAATGCTTATATCTCTGGAAAAAGAATGCTGTAAGAAGATGGAAAATAATCAATTTTCTCACTTTTGCAATTTGAATGGTTGGAGGATAAAAATTCCTATTTGACACAAACCAGACCTAAAAGTACACCTGATGTACTCCATTAATTGTATCAGAGATAAGCTTTATCATGTCCTCTTTGAAGTCTTAGCAAAACAATATAACTTTAAAGATAGGAAATTGAAATAAGGTATGGAGGCAGTTATTAACTCACCTTCGGCCCGGATGAGATATATTATCAATTCATTGATTCCTAGTTAATTATCAAATGTGTATATGTCAAAACTGTTTTTAAGTAAATTAGTTTCATGTAGGTATTTCAGGCAAGGTGGCCTACTGTAAGGAAGCATTTCATTTTAATGCTTTTGTAGAGTGACGTGACTTATTACTACATTTTGTATGTGATTTAAATATTCTTAAGCTTTTTCAGTATTTATAGTACAGAATTAATAAAAATTAATTTCATATTTGCCATTGTATTTGCATAAACTCATGCAGGTTTGCTTGTAAACTATTTAAAGACTTCATTTTGTGAATTAGAGATCTTTTCTGATATTGGGTTAAGTACCATTATATTCTGATAAAAGTTTGTGGTCATTTTGAACTGTATATGAAATATATTTTATTTTGTTTTGCCATAACAGAAATTCTGTTTCATTTAATCTGGAAGTCTTGTCACTTGGTCAGTTTAACCTAGCTAGGAATGTGGTTCACAACTTAATCTGATAACAGCAGAATTAAAAGTATTGTGATAGTCTTATTTTTTATCTTTCTTCCACCACATTTCCACAATGCTTGTAGTCTTCTCTTTTATTCTATGTTTTTGTTTTTTGTTTTGAAAAATATATAGAATATGGAAATGAAAATGTATTTCATATTAATTAAGAAAGTGGCTTATACATTTTACTAAAACAGGTGATGTGAATACTAACAAAGGGCCATGCAAATTAGATTCAGCAAAACTTTGGTTTGTGAACATAACTTGTTCTGGAAAAATACTTATAATCCAAAGTACTTGTATATCAAGGCAAATTTCTCTAAGAAATAATGGAATAATAATAAGAAATAATAAGAATAATGGAAACTCAGATGATTCATTTCATAACCTGGAATATTCATAAAAACTGTAATATACAAAATTGTAACACATAAAATATAAAAATACAATATGCAGATAAAAGTAAATTAACCTGTACTGACCTTTGAAAACCTTAGTGATTGATGTGAGCAAGATGAGAGAGGAGAGTTATCGTGTACGATGTTTTCTATTATCATTAGCAGAATATAGTTATTGCTGCTGTTTGTTCAGTGAAATCTTTTTCATGCAGTTTTAATGAGGAACCAGTCGCATTTGCCTCCTTTTGAGGATTTTGCAGAATTGTGACATTGCGTTGTTATTAAACTGATTCGTCACTCACACTGGTACAGCCTTATTCAGAGATGTTTTTCTACATAGTTTTGCAGTTTCCACGTTTTATACCGTTCTCTAATCTCATCTGAAGTAAGGGATTTCTCCACATTTCTATTCTCCTGTGCAGACTAGATCTCTTCTGTAACACTTGCAAAATGATTACTCATAACCCCACAATGATAGACAGAGAAAGGGAGAAAGGGAGAGAGAGGGAGAGGGAGAGGGAAAAGGAGAGTATGAAAACGGATTGGATCATGTGATGTTCAGCATCATGTACTAGTTGTTTTGCAAGGCATAGCTCATTAATCAGATTAATTAGAAATGTTTTCTCACCTTGTAGAACACTCACTGAACAGGTTACTTGCAACCCAAGGTTTTACTGTGTATATTTTTTGCCATTTTTTTTAGTAAAAAAACTTAACTTAGACAAATGTTATATATATAAAATCTAGTCTATATAGTTGCTAACAGAATCTTTAGCTTTTACTTTATATAAGAAAAGTTTTTGCATTAAAATAATATGCTTGTAATGCAAAACATGTAATCCACAATGCGAATTTTTTTATAATCCAAACTGCTAGTCTGCATTGACTCAGTTTTTACTTCTTTTAGGTCTGTTCTAGTGAATAGTATATATTGTATGTATAAACTAGGATCTTAAAAAATAGAATGTTGAAGTGCCATGATACATGTATATTTTTCAATTCAGTTGTGGATACTGCTTGTTCTGTATATAAACTGCTAGTGGATAAGCCAGACTTTCCTCAAGTTAGTACATTAAAACAAATAGTGACTCAGGTTTTTCTTCTTTGTTGACAGGGTGGAGTTGAACTTACTCTTTGTAGATGTGAAAGAACGGGAAGGTCATTTCATTCCTTGTTGATAAAGGTAAGGTCATAGTAATTATTGAAGATTTTGGGTTCTTTGGTTGGAAACTTTATTTTGACATTCTCACTTTGTGGTATGCTGAAGTCAACAGAAAGATAATATATTTTATGCAATGCATGGAATGTACAATTGTTCCCTTAACTATCACTGAAAATACATAAGATAAGGAAACTGGTATAAATCAACCTGACAAAGTAGATGTAGATTTAGTACCTAATGAGCAAGTAACTTGTGCTTTTGTATGGAAGGTTGGTTTACACACTTAGTCTGTCCCTCAAACATTTACATACTTTGTGATAACCCTTTTCAAATATTAATGGTGTTGTTATGATAACTTTTTTCTAGATTAAAAAATAATGCTGTTTTTAAGCAAACCCCAATCCATTTTCCTTTTCACATTATGTCAGTTCTCTTTGTCTTTGTGATTTTGAGGGACAAGTGTGGGCCAAGCAGAATGGGTCTGAGAGGTCTGTGAGTAGGTTGTCCTGTATCCTGGTGACTGTTATCCTGGAGCTGACTGGGTAGTTGGTTGTACAGTGTGCTGTAATATTTAGGCACTTTGTGAATGCACGTATTTAGTTTATTCTTCACTTTTCTGTTACTGTTCCTATTTTAAAGACTTAGTTTGTTTTTCAGGTGGAGAAACTAAGGTCCCCTAAGTAATCTGCTAAGGTTACTGAGCAAATAGAAGATGGAGCTGGCGATTGAACTGGTGATGGGAACTCCATAGCCTCTCGTTCTCTGCACTATCCCATACATCCTGGTAGAACAGAACCAACAGAGTATTCCTAAAATTGGGAGCATATTAATAGGATGTGTTGTGGAAAACATTTAGATTCATTCAGTTAATTCCCATTTTTCTAGTATCTGCTCATTGTCTTTTGCTGTTGGTCTAGAAGATCTTTCATCAGTTTTTTCCATTATTAGAAAATCAGACCAAAATCTTAGGAAAGTATTTTGCCTAAGCATATCGATATACATTTCAGTGTCATTAAATCGTTACACATGTGGACAAGGCAGCTTTGGATAGTGAAAAATTAAGTTTTTAGTATAAAAACTTCTTATACTTCTTAAAAACTATACCAATTATATAGATTAATCAGATTTTCTAGGTTAAATTTGAGTTTAATTAATTACAGATTTATCGTTTGTGATTGATATCCATTGCTTAAAAGCAACAAAAATAATTTTTATGGGGCATCTTAAAATATAAAAAGCAAAAACAATCTGCACTATTTTGTTAGTGGTACTGAATTTTTCAAAAACATGTAGGATGCTATTGAAGTATATGCATATTTTTCATTTACTAACAACTAGAATTTTCCTGGCAGGAAAGAGCTTCATTAAAGTAGCTGAATAGTGTGTCTCTGATTGGTTTTCATTAAGAATTGGCAGAATTTCCAAATACTTCCAACTCATAGTTGGTTCCATAAGTTTAAGGCTGAAGGACTAATTCACCATTAAAGAACTAAACTGAAATGCTTTAATTCACTTTTGTCAGAGGCTGTGAGTGCGAAAGACACAACACAATGGTTCGGCAGTGAGCAGAGCTGAGCTCAAGGTGTAGACATGGGCTAGCAGTTTGGCCTGTTAGGACCTCCTTTACTCGAGGGGGAGGATGAGGCTATTGATTTCATCTCAGGTGATGAATAAGGTATTTTCCAGCTTCAGAAGTAATCTTTCTGAACCAGGCTGAAAGGAAAGTCGGTATCTTAGGATGGGAGCATCATTCCTGGCTCTCCCCTGACTGAATTTGGGAAGGGCTGATTTCCTTCTCTAAGTAATTATGATGGAATTCATGATTTAAGACTGTGTTCTACAGGTATAGCGGTGTGTGCCTTAATCCCAACATTGTGGAAGGCAGAGGAAGGAGGATTGCAAATTCAATCCCAACCTCACAATTTAGTGAAACCTTGAAAGAAAATTAAAATGGTTGGGAATGTAGCTCAGTGAGAATGCCCTTGGTTCAATCCCTAGAAAAACACGTACACATACAATACTGTGTGTTTTAAAAAGGTGCTCTAGTGAATCTGATAGTCAGATTTGGAACTACTGGTGTGAAAAATGCTCTTGTTTGCAGTCCATCATGATATTTCCTCCATTTAAAGATCAGGGAGGATGACACTTTTCCTTGTGTTGTTTTATGATAGTTTGTCTTCCTGTGGAAGGAGGTTTTCTTAATGGTGCACAGAGGGAAGGAGACATGATACCCTTTTGCTCTCTGTTCCTGGGCATAAAGACAACTTTTCACTGAATATCTTGTATATTTTCATATTTATATGTTTTCTTTTTCATAAGGAACCAGCTATCTTTTGTATGTAATCTCCACATCTCGGAAGCAAGAAACATTGTTTTCTTATCAGAATGTAGATTGTGAGCGCGCAGTGAGAGTAGCAGTATCATCAATATCTAGCTGGGGATTTACCGTTTTGCTTTTCTGCTCCATTATTATTGTTGTTTAAATGCCTTCTACTTGCCAGGTACTATGCTAAATGCTCAGCACAAGTGATAGGTTTCATGTCATTGAAAACTGTTTAATGAGGGTATTTTAAGTATTCCTGTTACAGATGAGGAAAATAAGAATCACTTATTTGTGATTACTTATTGAATATTTGTGCTAATCAGCTAGAATTGTACAGGTGAAGGTTTGAGTTAAGATCAGTCTGACGCATGGTGCCTTTTTAAAAGGTAGACTGTGGGGTTTTCAAATAGCATTCTTCATATCTCCTTCAAGATCATGAGGAAGAAATAAATTGGGTTTTCAGAGAGCATTTATCAGATGTCATGATTATAAATGTGAAAATTCATAGTGTAAAATGTTACCTTTGGTGTGATTTGATTGGCTGTTACAAATGGATAACTCTAGCGTTGCTCACGTTTAGGATCAGAGCTGCCCTTTCCTGGGCTCAGCTCTGAGAAATAGTGGGATGTTTTGCTGAGTTTTTTCATATGTTTAGGCTTTTAGGAGATATAAGTGTGCAGCTTTGTGTAGCACTCTTCAGTGCTGCATTTGGTTCTCACTGCAAAGTTCTGCCTCCTCCTCTGTCCTTTCTGCTAGTATCCCATGGGAATGTTGAAAAGTAAACCTGAAAAAATAACCAGATTCACTTCTTTTCTTCCCCTGCAAAGGGGACCGTGTCAGCTGGGTTCCAGTACATACTCTTTCTCTTACTAGGTGATTCTGCGTCTAGCATGGGTTTTGGGGAGGGTAAACTTGGACACTTCATGAAAATGTTTTCTATTCCGTAACTGTCAGAATCGCAGAGGAGTCCATTCAAATAGAAGGACAAAGTGGAAGGCTTCCACATCCCATCACATGGGTATTCCATTTTATATTTTCTCTTTCTGCTGCTAATCAGATAGAACTATAATAGCTCATTCTCCAAGAATGTCTTGTTTATTTTTGGTATACACTCACTTATTTGTTGTTTCCACCTTCCCTCTATTTTTACAAAATATTTCAGGTTGTTTATGTAAGATAAGCAGCTGAGAGATATATTTAGCTTGTTTTGTTTTTCTTTATAAATTATTTTTGCATCATCATCATCGTCATCATCAACTGTGCCATGTTGTAATTTGTAACTATTTCTCTAATTTAGAGACCGAAGATTTAAATTTTTCTAATCAACAGGGTAGACGAATAGGATAGATTGGAGTAACATAATAGGAATTAATAGAAATGATGACAAAACAGAGTAATTGCATTGCCTAAAGTATTTATATTTCCGTTGTAGGTAAAACTCTGATATCTTAATAAACACAGGAAGGGTGGCTCTCCCTGACCCTTCTTTTACTCATTTATAGGACTAAAAATAATATTAGTAAACTGATTGATTTTCACTTAAACTGTGGTTAGGGTAAAGCAAATGACTTTTTAGTCATCCTTTGAGGAACATGTGTTTTTTTTTAAAAAAAAATCCATGTCTCTTCTTCATTAGCATATTCCCACTGGCTTTTTATTAATTTTATTAGTAAAAAGACCAATAAAAATGACCGTCATTCATGTACTACTGGTGGCCCAGAGCTTCTTGGCAGTGAGACGTTTGGATTATGGCCCTAGCATGAATGAGTTAAGTGGAACAAGGTTTTTTAAAAATTTTATTTGGTTTGTTTTGTTTGAGTACAGTGGTACTTTGGTTCACCAACTCAGTTTTCTCCACACTTCTGGTTGCAGACTGAACTGGAAGAAAACCAAATCACATTTCCCCATCAGATCAACACTGAACCTAACTAGTGAAATTGATTCAGTTTTTTTCCAACTTGGTTGGCAACCAAAATCGTGGAAAGAATTAAGTTCGTGAATCAAGGTACCACAGTCTTGGTGAAGGAACCTGAGGCCTCACAAATGATATGTAAATGCTGTATCGTTGAGCTACATCCCTCACCCCTATTCTTAATTAAGAAAAAATGTTACATGGGTAGATGGACTGTTGAGTCCCTAGAACTCATAAGAGTATTTGGCACATAGGTGGATTGTAAACACATTTAACAATATAATTAGTCCTGCCCACTAACTATCCCACCAATTGGTCTCTCACATTTTTCCACTGTCAATAGCCTTATCTAAGACATCTTTTGCTAAAGTATTGCTGTAACTGATAGCCTGCTAAAAGATTTTTTTTTTCTGACTTGTCTGTCCTGTTTCAGTGTAATGTACAACTTGAAACCAGAGTGGTCCTCCAAGGATTCAAAACTAATGATACAGTTTCTTCAGTTCAAAGTCTTTAATAGATCTCTATTGTTCTTAGGGGTAAAGTCTTAACTACTTGCATGTAGTTCTTATTTTGTATAAAAAAATTGACCTCAAGTTAATTAACTGAAAGATTCCTTCAAAATGAATAGAGAGGAGATCTTTGGAAACTTCACATAACATTATTGAGAGACAAATGAGATCACATTTCATAAAATGTTGTATAACACAAGCTTCCTACTTGCAGATTGTGGAAGATCAACTGAAAAACTGTTTCAGACTTAATGGCTATGCATTTTATAATGTAATC